AGCCCGGCTTTCTCTCTTTCTAATTCTGAAATAGTTTGCACAGTTTTTGCCTTCATTGTTTGGAACTAGTCACTAGTAAAGCAATGTAGATCTTTGATACTTTTTTTGTTCAGATTTTAAGTAACAGATTGCAGTTCTTATATTACTGTCAATTATTCAGATTTTTCAACTTCCCTTAATTGATAATTCAAGACATTCACCACTTTGAAAATTATTAAATAGTTTTTATACTATTGTTTCCCTTTCTAATATTTGCAGGCTTTGCAATTTTTTTGTTTGTCTATTTCTGAAGTCAGAGATTTATGGTTCTTCTTTTTTCTCTTGATTACTCATGCTAAAAGTTTGTCAGTTTTATTAATCAATTTTATAACAAATTTTATGTTGGTTCTTTTGAAAATTTGTGTACATATTTATTTAAACTATTCTTGATAACTTAATTATTCTATTTCCTTTATACGCTTTTGAGTATAATTTCCTGTTCTTTTCCTAAAATAGAAATTCTTTAAATAAAGCTTAAATGGTTATTCCAGGCTCCCTTTTTTTTTTGGAAGATGTACTTACAAGGTATAAATTTTCCTCAAGGCCAATTTTTAGCTGCATCTAACTATATTTCAATACAAATATTTTAAAATTTCTTTTGAACTATTTTTGCCCCAGGGGTTATTTTAAATATATTATTAATTTTTAGAAATTGGACTTTTGAAAAATTTCTTAATTTCATTGTAGTCAATAAACATACTTTATTTAGGTTTTTTGTTTGGTTGTTTTTGTTTTTGAGTCAGAATCTCACTCTGTCACTCAGGCTGGAGGGCAGTGGTGTGCCCACGGCCACCACAGCCTTTACCTGCTGGCTCTCGCTAGTCTTCCGCCTCAGCCTTCCAAGTAACTGGAACTACAGGCGCTTGCTACTATGCCCAGCTTATTTATTGTAGAGACGAGATCTCACCAAGTTTCCCAGGATGGTGATCTTGAACACCTGAGCTCAGACAATCCTTTTGCCTCAGCCTTGCAAAGTGCTGGGATTACAGGCTTGAGCCACCGCGCCCAGCCTTCGATTTTTGAAATTTGTTGAATTTTTAAAAATCTTACAATATGATCAATTTTTGTAAATATTCCAATTGCATTTTAAAAATATGTTTTGTGCTCTTTCAGAGTCTTGTAGTCTATTCTATTTTAGTTATATGTGAGTAAAACTAAATAACTAAATATTATAAATAACTATAACAAAGCATAACTATTAATATAACTAATATAACTATAATGGTAATTCATCACTGTGTTGTTTATCTTGTATATCCATAGTGATTATATTTTTGATCTTTTGTTTTAACAGCTATCGACAGGGGAATATACACTAAAACCTCCCACAAATTTTGATGTGTCTATATCCTTTTTTTTCTCTTACAAATAAGAAAATCTTTTATTTTATTTAAAATAAAAACAAATTGAAAATAAAACATTTTTTTCAAAAAGCATTTATCAGAAAAAATATATTCATGATAAAGAAACCTCAGATTTTTTCTATCATTAAATACTTCAAGGTTTGCTATTCTTAAAAATTAAGGTAAAAAGAAATAAAAACAATGCTACTGTATTTTTTAAATTAAAAGATGTATATCTTCTAGGATTTCATTTGAACAAGCCAGATGTCCAGAAATACTGATCAGCAACAAATTGTTGCATTATTTGAAGCAAAGCAATTATATAATATAGTAACAGGTTCCAGATAGGGCAGCCCAGGTCAATAACTCTCAATCTCCCTTCACTATTCAACCTTCTACATTCAGACACAACATTTTTTTATTAAATTTTATTTTATTATAGAGACGTGGGGTACAAGTATGGATTAACTACATAAGTAGGCTGCATGCAGATGAAGTTTGGGCCTCCAAATGGAATTTTATCAGCATGTTTGCTTTAAATTTTGAGGGCTATGCTTTTGGTTATATTCAACTTTAGGATTCTGAGCTTTCCTGTTTTAGATAACCTTGGACTGAGCAACTGATTATTATGGACTGTTTCCCTGCTATCTAATAAACCATTATGCTTAACATTTCTATACCTGATATTTGAATAAGAAAACTATTTTTATTAGTTAGTATTTTCATGGCATATCATTTTTAATTCTTTCTTTTGAAGCTTTCCATGTCCTTATGTTAAAATGTGTGTTTTTTTAATGATGAAACAAATACAAATAAAAGTTTTTAAAAAGTCTTTTAAAATAACAGTAATTTGTAATCAAATGCCTGGAAGTAGATATATCAAATTGTATAATATTCATATTCTGAAAATTATAAATTATTGTATAAATTATTATTATAAATAGCACTACATTATATTTATATAATGTAGTGCCATTTATATAATGTAGTGCTATTTATATAACTATTATTGAAAAATAGTCAAAAGGATATTAATTATAGGAATTATTTACAATTTCTATGAATTAGAAGTCTCAATATTATGAAGATATCAAGTCTCCCCATACTCATCTAGATTCAATATAATCCAGATTAAAATATCAGTGGTATTTTTGGTGGATTGTCATAAATTTCACATGGAAATGCAAACAGCCAATGTGTACTAGTGGAGGTGATGTGTACAGTTAAAACCCAGACCTCTTCACCATTATACAATATATCTATGTAACCAAAAACTACTTGTATCTCTAAAACTATGGAAGTTTTTTTTAAAAATTCAATACTCAGGTGTCCTCTCTGTATCAATTAAATTTTTTATTTAACTGATGAATTTTTAATTTTTTAAATAAACTCACCAAGCTTAAATGTGCACATAAATAACCTGGAGAATCATCTTTAAATGCAAACTTTGATTTATTTAGTCTGATATTTAGCTTGAGATTATGAACTTTTATCCAACTCTCAGGTTCTACCAGTGCTGCCGGTTTATTAACCACTCTGAGAATCAAGGTGTTACATGACCTCTCATATTGGATTATTTTCACTGAAATTCTTTCAACAAATTTTTTTTAAAACAAATACAAGTGGAACAATTTACTCATGTTCTTGTATCAGAGAGTTTCCATTTAGCTTTGGAATTGCAGTGCCTGTAGGTTTCTGGGATGTCTATAGGAGAGTACAGTTCATCTGGAATGCCACAGGTGAGCAGACTATGTCTGGCTATTACTTCAATGTGCTAAATAAAAGGAATAAGAAAGTTGGAACTTCGTTGAGGTGACAAATGGGAAGGCGCTTAGCAGGCCTTTTCATGAATAATTATACAATAATAAAAACGACTCAGAAACTCATTTACAGAAGTCATTCTTTCAATTTTATCAGGGTAAGTGTTCTGATTTATGAAAGAATACATGCTAGATGGATAGATAGATGATAAATGGACAGATGGTGATAGATAGATAGATAGATAGATAGATAGATAGATAGATAGATAGATAAAGACAGAGAGAGATACAGAGAGACAGAAACAGAATTTGAATCATACCAACACATATTATTCAATTGCTTTGCTGTGAATTTTTATCTAAATTTAGTGAACATCATCTGAAAAATTCTACCACTATTTAATAATCCAAGCTGGAAATTTGTGTTTACTCTCATATCTTCCTGTACCTTCAACAAGCTTCTAATCAGCCATATCTTAACAAGCCAATTTTTAAAAATCTCTAGAAAGTCTTCTTCCTCTCTGGTTCACTATCATTTACAGGCAATATTTTGCTTCGAATAAAAAAATGTCTGCTGACTGATTTTCTGGAGTTTAGACTCATTCTCATTCTATCTTTCTTAAACACCAACTTATGTGATATTACTAGCATGCAAAACTATTTTGTGTCATTTCCCCATTTAAAAATATTTTCGTAACTGCCCTCTCTAAATAAAGAATTGTTTCTGCCTACTTTTCCATTTTTGTAGGCTGATTGTGTTATCTTGATTATGACTTGTATTGCTGGGTAAGCTTTTCTCCTCTTCCTTGACTTCTAATCAGTCTATATTTTGTACATGAGCTCAAGCTCTATTGATTCAAGAGTCTACCCAAAGGGCTCTTTTTGTTTGTCCTCTGTTAGTCTATTCGTATATGTGAGCCTTGTGAATAGAAAATGACATAGCTCCCATTATATGCCTCTATATTCCCTAATATAGTTCTATGCATTTGGCAAGAATTAGGAACTGTATTTTATATATTCCAAAGGGGTAAAGTTTCTTATTTTAGAAACCATACTTCCAGAAATGCTTGCCTATGTGCTTTGTTAGAAAAGCTCAGCTACACAAAGTATTGAGAATATCAAAGGATACTGACAAAATATATTTTTTCTCTAAATTAAGATAAATAAATCTTTCTTAGAAAATGCTATATTCCATACATGTAGTATAATCACCGACATGGAAACCTATATGAGTTGATAAATGGGAGCGGCTCAAAAACTTTTTCACAGAAACGTCTTTCAGTTTTTTCAGGGTATGTGTTCTGATTCAGGAGAGAATATGTGATAGATAGATAAAAAGATATGATAGAGATGATGATGATGATGATAGATAGATAGATAGATAAAATATTTTATTAGTGTTTAGAGTTAATACAGTTTACTCTGGGTAAATACATTTTGGGGCACCCCAGAAATGGTACTGCCCTCCTCCATCTTACTGGTCCCATGAATCCATTTCTTTGACAACTTTCTTCTAAATAATTAAGTACTGGCAGTAATCTCATTACTTGTGGGCACACCTTGCTGTCTCTTAACTATTTCCTTACTAAAACTTCTTTAGAAATTAAAAATGTTTGCTAAAGCAAAATACTCCCTTTCACAGAAAATTTCTTTTTTTTTTTAGTTATTAAAATGTGATATACCAAGTTCTTTATGTTTTCCTTTATTTCAGTAGTTTTATGAGGTACAAATTGTTTTTTTGGTTAGCTGGTTGTGGTTGCATTGTTTAATGATAAAGAAGTCCAGATTTTAAATGTGCCCACCACTCCCACCTATCGAGTACATACTGTATCCGAGAGGTGATTTTTCATCCCTCTGCTCAGGAAACTTTTTTTAAGGAACTTATTTAGGGAGACTTTCACATCTTTATTCCTTAGGCTGTAGATTAAAGGGTTTAGCATGGGCACAATAATGGAGTAAAACACAGAAGACACTTTTCCTTGATCCATGGAGCTGACAGATGATGGCTGCAGGTACATGAAGGCTGCAGAACCAAAGAAGAAAGCAACCGCCAACATATGGGAGCTGCAAGTGCTGAAGGCTTTGGACCTGCCCTCAGTTGAACGAATGCGGAGGATGCTGGTAATAATGAAGATATAAGAGCTAAGGATGGTCAGGCTGGGGACAAGGATATTAAATGCACTGAAGCACAGAACTACTACCTCATTGATATAAATACTGGAGCAAGAGAGTTCCAGTAATGGAAAAAGATCACAGAAATAATGGTTTATTATATCAGCTTTACAGAAAAGCACTCTCAGCATACAGACTGTATGAGCTGTGGCACCAATCAATCCCATTATATACACCCCTATTACCATCCAGAAGCAGACCTGATAAGACATGGTGACATTATAAAGCAGTGGGTTACAGATGGCAACATAGCGATCGTATGCCATTGCAGCCAACATGTGACATTCTGATATAATAAAAACAAGAAAGAAGTAGAGTTGAGTCATGCATGCTGGGTAGGAGATTGCATTTCTCTCTGACACAAAATTTACCAACATTTTGGGGGTAACAACAGAGGAATGGCAGAGATCAATGACAGACAAACTGCTGAGGAAATAGTACATGGGGTTGTGCAAGTGAGAACTGAGTCCAATTAGTGTGATCATACCAAGGTTCCCCACCACTGTGACCACATAGATTCCTAGGAAGAGGAGGAAGAGTGGCAGCTGGAGCTCTGGCTTCTCTGTTAGCCCAGCCAGGATGAACTCAGTGATTGAGGAATGATTTTCTTCTGCCATTTTCCTCTGGGAATTGTATGTAGAAAGAGAAGAAAATTTGAGTGTGAAACAGAATTCAGGTCTTTTCAATCATGTTCTCTGCCTGTTTTTCCTCTATATTGACAGTCAAACATCTGGGGAACCCAGCAATATGGACATAGAAATAAATATTAAATAGAACTATTTCTATTTGTGTTCTATATTAGAAGAGTGAGTATTAGTGTACTGCCTAGTCTCTGAACACCTGAAGAACAGTTCTGATAATTTTGACTGAATGCTTTTAAAACTTCCCACACCTTATTTGTAATACTCTTAACTATTCTACAGAACAAATGTTAGTATACCTAGTTTACATATTAAATAACTGAGGCTTGCAGTGGTTAACTATTAGCCCATACTTAGGAATGTAATAAGTAAATAATCAAGAATATGATGTCATGCCTATCTCACCTTCCATGTCTTATTTTAGCTACTCGTGGCTTCCCTCCTATCTTTATTTCTTTGTCATATCAGATAACCCACAGCAATTAATATGAAAGAAAAAATTTACATAAATTACCAGCAATAGTGTATCAACTACTGATCCAGGATAGACATCCTTTTAGTGAGTGAGTACCTGGACTACCAATACTGCTTCAAAAATACAGAAATAGTGGCTCTAGAAAGTAATTGAACAGTTAACAAGATTATCACTCACCTTAAACTCTATATCTAGGAAGGTTGTGAGTTTTCTAGTGAAGATATTCAAAAGTAAAAAAAAATAAATCCCAAATTTCTTCATTTCTAAAACAATGATGGAGTACCCACCATGTTCTAAATATGCTAGTTTTACCTTACGTGGCCCATCACCCTTGGGGCCTATGTTTTTGGAGGATGAGGACGACAGAATGGCAGTCTTGCATAATGCTTACACTGTATCACCAGTGTACATGTTGTTTTGGTATATTATGCACTCACCTTCAAATCAGAGCTTTTAACAGCACTCCCTCAGAGGTACAAGAGATCAAAGCAGAAAAAATATGTGTATCCCTCTAGTTCCAAGATATAACATTAGAAGAAAGCTGGTGAGTTTCAAGAACAGGGCACTGTGATAATAAATATTTTATGTTCAAAAGAAAGAGATCCAAAAGGTACCATCAGAGATTATTTGTGTATCAAAAACAAAGGTAAGAATATTTAGATAAGAATGAAAGGGAGGAAGATATTGCTATTTTTCTGTGGCTTCCCATGTGCTTAGAACTATCCAGGCACTTTAATACATGTTAAGTGATTTATTTTCCCCAACAATTCTATGTACAAGAATATTATTCTCATTTTATAGATGAGAAAACTACAATTCAAAGACTTAAATTATTTGTTTCTGATAACTATATGGCTTTTCAATATAGATGTGTATGATGATTTTTCTAATAGACAAATGAGACATTTGACATAGCCTTGAGAATTAAAAGAAACAAATAATGAGCTAAAACTGATATCTTCTGGAAGTGCCATCTTTCTAAGACCAAAGTAGGTACACACACATGCTTAATTCAAAGACCATAAGAACTAGAGAAAAATTATAATAGTGATATTTTGGCATTTACTGAATTATTTTAATTAACCAGAGTCTAGATAAGATTCTACAGAAATTTTTACTTGTTACTTATCTATTCATATATTTTTCAGTGTGTAGTATATGAATTAAGGGACACAACTGGGTTCCAGCAAGAAGTAAATAAAGCAAAAAGTCTTTTCTTCACCAAATTGCCAATTGCATCTAAACTTCTATTCAAAGCTTGGTGTTATTCTGTCAATAAAATACCTGCTGTGGTATCTATGCTTATATTGTGCAAATCGTGGCTGAAAACAGGTAAATATAAAGTCAGAATCAAATCTTCTGTGTAGTGCTTTGCCTCCCAATTCCAAGATGTTTTCAGTGTTGTACTAAGGATGATTACTACAGTAAAATAATCTCAATCTTTATTACTGGCAATTTTTACATACTTACTACTTTTTGATTATTACTTAAATTAGAATGATGTGACTTGACTGTGGTTCTATCAAACCAGAAGAAATGAAACAAAAATAAATTTAAAAATCACTTGGATTCTTATAAACATTTAATAGAAAAAAAGGCTAATTTTAAAAAGACCAAATCTAAAAAGGCTGAGAAAAAGACCAAATTAGCAAAAGCTATGCATGAGTATGTTATTCACAGAAGAATTATATACAGCAATAAGCAAATGAAAGAATGTATACTTTCACAAGTAATCAGGAAAATGAAAATTAAAACAAGAGTAAGATATCAGATTGGGTTAAGGATATCCAGCTTGATGAGACTTTGACTAAAGGGGTACTTGGGATGGTAACGTAAATTGGTACAGTCTTTTTGAAGGGCATTTTAAACAATATCTGTGGACATTTTAAAATACATTTATTAGCCGGGTTCAGTGGCTCAGTCTGCAATCCCACGCTTTGGGAGGCTGAGGTGAGTGGATTACCTGAGCCCGCGGGTTTGAGACCCGCCTGGGCAACTTGGCGAGACCTTACCTCTACAATAAATCAAAAAAATTAGCCGAGTGTGGTAGCGCGCACTTGTAGTTCCACCTACTTGGAAGGCTGAGGCGGAAGGATTGCCGGAGCACAGCAGGTTGAGGCTGCAGTGGCCGGGAGCGGCCACTGCACTCCAGTCTGGGTAACAGAGTTAGACTCCAGCTCAAAAAAATAAATAAATAAAATAAAATAAAATAAAATACATTTATCTTAACCCAGCATTTCCAATTATACATATATATATTCTAGAAAAGTATTCTTTGTGTAAACAATCTAAATAAGCCTCAATAGAGCACTGGTTATATAAAAATACTATGGACTATAATGAAACTATTAAAAACAATGAGTTAAATCTACATATAAAGAACTGCAAAGATATTCAAAATATTTCAGGAAGTTGGGGAAGAAAAGCAAATCTCTTGTGTGATTGATGTGGTGACATTTAAAAAATTATCTTGATGATGATCATATTACATTACATTTTAAAATAACTATATAGTGTTTCATTGGATGGACATACCATAACTTACTTAATCTTTTATTGATGAATTTGTGAACTGTTTTCAAACTTGCTATTATGAGCAACACTGTAATAAATATTTGTGTGTATATATATTTATATATGTATACATATATACATGTATACATGAGTTAATAGACATGCAGTCATACTTATAGAATGAATTGTTCTGTAGCTGATTGGAAAACAAATAATTTTCTTTCTTATTTCAGGATAAATTCTGTAATAGAAAAGCTATAATAATTGTATTTTGAAAAATTTTTTTTTAAATGGGAATAGGAAATTGTTTTCTGCCACAGTCATGTGGGCACTTTTTGTCTATAGCAGTAGAATTCACTTATGATGATGAAAAAGTCCTTCTAGAGTGAGGCACTGCTGATCTTTCAATAGACACTGCAAAATTGTGATTTTTGAAAAGTTATTTATCTATAGGTTAGCAATGGCACCGGGGAAAATGATCTACTTAAGTATTATTTTACTTAACTTTTAAATAATTATTATTTGGAATCAGTAAAAGTCTTGTTTACTGGTTAGATGTGCTTCTAAAATATTAATATTTAAGTGATGTTAATATCCCCATTCAAATTGCTTATAAATTGGTAAGTGCTGAGTTTATAGTTTTGATGGAGTAGTATCATTGCTGACTTTCCCTTTGATATAATAAAGGTACTCTATAATAAATATGTTGCTATTTATACTTAAGTTATCCTTAGATGTGTCATACCTTAGAAGAAATGATAAGTTTAATGTTAAATAAGTGAAGCTTTAAATAACTGTTTTGTAGTTTTCAAATCTCAAAACAACTGCAGATTAAGAAATTTTTAGCTACCATATGTTCAAATATATGCTTTAAATAGTAGTAATGAAGTTTAGTGAATGGACACTGAAAATGAATTAAGCACATTTCATTTCAAATGATATGATTGAGATAGAGCAAATACAATATAACATGCAAATATTCAAGGAAACACTAATGATTAAGTTTTTTTTTTAATCATTTTGGATCTTGAGGTAAACTTGAATTTTGCCTGGTATCTAAGGATAGAGAGTATAAGAACCATTTAGAGTTACTATTTTACACAAAAAAGTTTTAACACTTTAAATGACTTGAAAAACATTTTTTGCAATGTAATAAACTGTCAACATTTTAAATATTTCCAAATACCATTTGCTTACAAAAATATTTTGTAAATGTTTTAATGACTCAGAAGCACAAAGTTCGAAACTCAAGGATAAAATAACCTTAAAATTAAGAAAAATATCTGCCTTAGAAATATGACTAGAGCACAGCTTGTATTTCAGACAATTAATAGTGTATACAATATGCACAGTAGTTACAGTAAATTTCTAGTATATCATAAATTAATTTATTCCAAATTCCAAATGATTCTAAACTACTTTTAGTAGAACAATGTAACTCACGTATCTCCAGTGCAGGTGATAACCTGGGCATCATTTTTTTAAAATTACTTTTCTTTTAATTTTTATTTTAAAGATGTGTACAATTCAGGGTTAGGTGTTTTGTTTTGTCTTTTTTTTTTTTTGTAATTTGAATTTAAAGTCTTTCTTAGAATGTCAGTTCCTGGTTCATCCATAAAGACTCTTGAATGTATGAATTCGCCCTAAACTCTTTTCATCAAGATCCCTATTTAGGGGGAAAAAGCTCTTCCCTGAGGGCAGGGGGTTGACAACTCCAAAATTTCATTCTATTAAAAAACTTAAAATACTGCAAACTAATTTACTTTTTAACAAGTTCCTCAAATTTAAATAACTCTAAAGACCAGCTTGGGTGGCTCAGCCTGTAATACCAGCACTTTGGGAGGCCGAGGTGAGTGGATTTCCTGAGTTCGCAGATTCAAGACCCACCCAGGCAACTTGGCGAGACCTCGTCTCTACAATGAGACCTCGTCTCTACAATAAATAAAAAATGAGCCAGGTGTGGTGACGTGCGCCCATAGCTCCAGCTACT